AAAAAAAAAAAAAAACTGCGCTATCGCTACAGTGTTGCGCCATTTCTGGCGCAACACTGTAGCACCCCGCTAATTTAGCGGGGTGTTTGGCGCTCCATTGGAGCGCCAAAACACTCCAAAATGGAGTTTTGGCGCTCCATTGGAGTTGCTCTCAACTAGAAACTATCAGCAATTCTCTATAGGCTTTTATAAAGGTGCATGAGTAATTAAGTCATGTAAGCATGTACGCAAAGCCATTATCTAAATAAAAACTCTATTGTCTTTGAGAAGTAGGTCATACAATATTATGCATCTTCTCTTCTACATGCATGATGGATACCTTAGAATGATTACTAACTTAAAATGAATTAACCAACAATTTACGTTCCCATGTTTTTGTCAAAGAAATTAAGATGCTAAGATGTTGCTTTCAAGTTTCAAATTTGAAACGTACCATCTTTTGTGTTGGTCTTAATTTGGTGATTGTGTCATCATTAGTTTCTCATTAACATTAGTGCTTTAGTTGCTTTAGAAGCTATTGTTAACAATTAATATATGCATCATCATTCTCATTTGCTGAACTCAGAAGGTAGAGGTTGATTTGTAGTCAGCTTCGAGTCCCATACCCATACGCAGCACGATCAAGCACAATGAGGACCACTATGTCATTCATTGATGGCGCAATTTCAGCATGTAGACATGTTATACCTTAAAAATTGCAAGTTTTATAAACCTTTGAGAACTGGCCATGTGTCAGTCAAGTAGATCAGGTCATATGATTGGAGACCCAACCCAGTATAGCCACAATCCGACTAGACTGGCCAACTCCTCTCACAATTCATCTAGTTTGGTGGGGAGGTGTCTTCATGTCGAACTCTACCAGAGAGTACATGTCCTGAGTTAGGGGGATGTTCAACTGCCTCATGAAGGACTCCCGCATTTAGGGGGTGTTTGGCAATCTGAAAGTGAATTTAAAATATGTAAGTTACTTTTTTTTGCAAATGACTTTTATATCCATGTCATCACGCAAGTGAAATACAGTGTTTGTTTAAAAAATTAAATTTTTATCGAAAGTGCAATGTGAAGATGACGTGGCAAACTAATATTAATTAGAAAGTATAATTAAATTAGCTACCTTTTTGTCACTTTCATGTGACTTCACCACTTTTTTAGGGGAAGTCAAAATTGTATTAAATCATATGTGGCAACTTTCCTGCATCTCACTTGCATAACCACTTACATGAAAACAAACACATTAATTGTTAAATGAAAGTAACTTTCTCACTTTCATCTTTCACTTGCATGCAAACAAACACCCCCTTAATGTGCGACCAGGCGTGATGATGACTTTTCAAGCGTTGCACATATTTTGCGAACGAGTCGCTATTGTATCAAACACATATCAGATGTGACAATAATTCCTCGGATGGCGCCCACACCCCACCTGTTGTCCCTATCATATTAAATGTAATATGCATGTCTCTCGCAAATTTGCCCAACTAGTTGTTGATAGGTGTATAGCGTAAACAAAACATCATTTCTGCCGGTCGAGCTAGATTATCAATCTGCCCTCGATGTCTCTTATAAACATGATATATCCTTACCATTCTCAGGTCTAAACTCTCTAAACTCAAAACTTACTCTTACATTTTTCTTAATACTAATTCCAACAGTCACTGACTTGTGCTTCGAAGGGCACGCTGGATGAAATCTCCCGCGGACCTCTAATGTTTGATGCTTGTGCACGGATTTGCCTTTCTAAACCTGATCAATCATCATAGGAGATTTAGTATCCCTAATCTCTCATTAATCCCCACTCAATTCGTAGATTAATCTTAAGATATAAACAATTCGTCACCTCCCATGTAGCCACTTTTTCTTTTTTTGAGAAAATGATTGATCCTAACAATTTTAGATCCTTAGCATGTGTACTCTCGGAGAACCTTTTGGCACTAGTTATGTTACTCAACCATAGCTAGATGAATCCTCCTAGAGGCTAGCACAATCACTCCACTGTCCGCTACCCTAACAATAGGGGAGCTATCTCAACAGCTAGTGGGTGAAGAGTGAATCAGGGAGACCACTCCTCAATCCTCACACCACTAAGCTCGTTTTGTCACCCACACCTTGTAGGCTCCTCAGCAGTAAGGTAGAACATGCGGGAGCTCAAGCTGTAACCTTGGTTATGACCCACGGGCAACACCGATGGGGACGAGATACACTTAGGGGCTGTTTGTTTCACCAGTTTATAGAATAGGATTAGTATTTGGGGTCTGACAGTGACAATTTGGTAATTTTTGGATTCTCTGTGAATCCTATTCTGGGGTTTGGCTCAGCCAAAAATTTGGGATTACCATATCCATAAAGTATCTACAGTGACGGTTTTTTATAGAAACCCAAATCGGAAGAAAAGGAGCGGATTTGGGCGAGATTTCTGACAGGGCGCTTCAACGTCGATTCAGATTCCTATCTCACGAATTCGATCCCTAGATCTGGAATCGCTGTTCTTCTCCCGCCTCATCGCCCTCTTCTTCGCGCATCTTCTCCCGCGCTTTGTCTTCTTCTACTTGGGGTCGGGGCTCCAAATCGAAACCCTAGCTTTGTTTTCCACGAGCTTGTTGGTGGGTTTCTTGCCTTCGATTCTTGGTGATCCCTTCTCGATCTTGTTCTGCTTCGAGTGTGATTGTTGGCTACGGTGTTGTGATTGACTTCGGTGGGTTTTTTGGTTGGACGTCGGCATTCTGGAACTTCATCAGACAGGTATAAATTCTGGAACTTCATCAGACACAATGTAGACTCCTATAATCGTGGCCAACTAGACTCTTGTTATGATTGATTTTGAACATGATGGCCGATGTCATTGAGGGAACACTCCGCTTTTTTATGACATCATGAATGCTCATTTCAAAATGCTGCATATTAAGAAATAGAAGGGCAAAGGTGACCTACTTGAGCACGGGTAATATTCTTTGATTTGACATGCATGCAACATGCGACCAACCCAGTCATATGCAGGGCTTTCCCTATCATCCTCAACGGTAGTGCCAATATGTAGTGGAACTCTGTAAAGAGAAAGTACATCCATAATTATAAACAACTCTCCCAGAAATATGTCCACTATTTCTTAGCATACACAAAGAGGAAGACAACCTTCGCCCTACTGTTATAAATCAGATAGAACCTGGTTAAACTCTCAGAGAATACTTCAAGATATTTTAGGCTAAGCGGCTGGAAGTGGATGACCCTAACAACATAGTAGCGATGGTAGGGATAATTGTGAGTCCAAAAGACAAAAAAACTATTGGACTCCCTCATAATAAATCCTGTGGTAGACTTTGACTAACTTGTGGCTAGAGCATGATCATATATGGATGTAGAAGACAATCGCATCCACAGAAAAAGTGGGCCAAGCAGCAGCTTCTGGGAGCAAAAAGACTGACACTGACCAATCCGACTCAAACTCCAAAACCCAAAAGATCCAACATGAGGGATGATGGAAGAAACAAGAGAAGAGATGAACGGAGAGATGTGAAAAGAGGACCTATTTTTTCTCCCCCAACGCCCTCATCTCATAAGTCTTGCACCAAATCCGGTGAGAGGGACATCTCACCAAACTCACCCACACTGCATGACCTCACATCCCCATAAGAGGGATTCCAAATAGTATTGTCGCTACCATAGAGACCACTGTCACGATACAGATAACTACCGAAGTCCTACAAAGGGACATTGAAGATCTTATCAAGAAGGAACTGCTCTAGAAATTCACTGACGACTTCAACAAAGAAGGACTGGATCCAAACAAACTAGAAATAAGGAGATCATGGTCACCACGATCTATTTAGCAGAGAGGCCACTTGAAGGAGGGCAAAGGCAAAGGCACAATCAACACCATCAGTGGTGCCCTAGCAGATGGAGGGATATCTAACAACGCTCAGAAAAAATATGCTCGATGAGCCCTTGGAGTGAACCTATGCCAGAAGAAACTTAAGGTGGATCACTCCATAACCTTCAGCAATGCTAACTTGAAAGGCATAATGGCACCTCATGATGACCATATCATCATATACGCTCAAATCAATGGGTTTTAGATCAAGCGGATCATGGTAGACACGAGTAACTCCGCCGACGTCTCGTTTCATGGATGCCTTCAACAAGTGAAGATTGATAGATCTAAGCTGCAATTGTGTCGGAGCTCCTTAGTAGTTTTCTCGGGGCATTATGATTGGGCGGAAGGATTGATCATCCTGCCAATAGTTGTTGGTGACTACCCCTGCCCTTCCAACATAAACAAGACACTGTTGACTTATGCCTGGGTCTAAGTTGATTAGTTGGCATTGCATTTTTGCAACGCCTGAGGGTGACCTTGCTAGCTGAAAACTAAAGCAATAACTGTATTAATATTTAAACTGCTATTATCTACTCTAATTGAATGGTATAATATGCCATCACAGCAGTAGGCTTGAAGCTAAAATTCTAAATATAAGTTTATTTTTCCTAGTCACGTCAATTCTACTTAACTTACTCTGTCGCACCTAATTTTGAAAAAAAAAAATTCTTTGATGCCGGAATTTGAAAGCTTTATGAAAAGTCAAAAAGTCCGACCAGTTTGTTGGGCACCTTCTAGTGTGCGGCCTAGAAGAGTTGAACATGAAATCTTAGAATACTACTGGCATGTAACTTACCAACTCGGGTAGACCCTCTTGGTCTTTGGCTAATTACCTTCACGACATATATTTAAGATAGAAATTCAATTTTTCTACTTCTTTTCCATGGAATGAAGTATTCAGATGTTAAAATAAGCTTCTGAACATTTAGCGCCTAATCAGGATTAAAATTTCTGGCTCGGCCCACGATCTGCTACCATAACAGCTCCTTTCACCGTCCCCTCTCCCATTTGCGTGGCCTCCATCCACATTTGTTGTTCTAATTTCTCACAGAATTTTAAGGCCGTTTACCTTTTAAGGCCCATCATAGAGCAAAAACCGATATTCTAAAAGGTCCACTGGGCCGAGATGCAAACGCAAGCCGTTGTCATCCATCACCCGACTCCAACTACGTAAATGCTGCTGCATCATAAAACCCCGAAACCCTAGCTTCTAAATCCTCTCCCTCTCATCTCTCAATTTAGGGTTTCGGTAAGCCGCCTCCCTCAAATCTCTGAAATTAGGGTTTCTGCTCACTCTTTGATCCGATCAATCTCTCTCGTTTCAGCTCCGAAAGCAGAGATGGCGGTTCCGTTGCTCACGAAGAAGATCGTCAAGAAGCGGGTCAAGAAGTTCAAGAGGCCGCAGAGCGATCGCAAGATCTGCGTTAAGGTATAATCTAATCTTTCCATTTGTTTGATTCTTCAATTGATGGCTTCAAATCATTAGATTATTGTGTAAAAGATTGGATTTTGGTTGTACTATATTATTTGATGACAAGTTTTTCTGGGTAACGTGATTATTTTAACCGTAAAATAAGATAGTTAATCCCATTTTTATTTGGGAAATGAAGATAGATTATTTGCAACATATGCTGTTGCTATTATGCGGCAGCTTTTGCTGAAAATTTGCACGTCAGTCTGATCCCGATTAAAAAAAATTACTACGAACTCTATTGCACGTCAGTTTGATCCCAGTTTTTTTAAAAAAAATACTATTCATCCTATTAAAAATAAAAATATTATCAATTGATGGCTTCAAATCTGTAGATTGTTGTGTAAAAAGACTGTTTTTGTTGCATCATCTGATGGCAAGATTGTTCTTTTGTAATGTGATTGTATTTAGCCCTATTGTTACTTGGGAAATGATGATAGATTATTTGCAACATAGGCTGTTGCTATTACGCGGCAGCTTTTGCTGAAACTTTGCACGTCAGTCTGATCCCAAATTTTTGATAAATATTCTATTAATATAAATGCGGATAATATTAATGGTTTAACATTTTAAACATTTATGAACTGTTTTGTAGAATTGTTAGGCTGCGCTTCCATTTTAGCTACTATTCTTAGCTGTTCTCGTTATATTATTACTATTTTTTATTTGTTTGGATTGAAACAGTTAGCTTTTAACTATTGATAGTTTGCATCTTGGTAGTGTATGCGTGAGTGTTTTAAAAAATCCAGTTATATGTCAGTGCTACAGGATGTCCAGCTGAGGATGAAGACCTTGTGGTGGAAAGGAAAACTTGTCATTTAAGATTGTGATACAGTAAACTATCCTTCAAAAGAATTGGAAATGGCTTTCTAACCTAGAAATTGGTTTTTCATATTTGTTGGAGAACAACCAAATGATAAGTAGGAAATCATCATCAGAAAATTGACTTTTTGTAAAACCCTCATCATTTTATAATTTAAAATAGGTTTCCGCCCAATTTCCGAGCAAAGATTGGAAATGAGTTTCCTATATTTGTTGACGATTTCTGATGTTTTGGGGAACCATTTCCCAGAATTTGTTAACAAGCAAACACAAGAACATTTTTCACCCTTTTCCATTTTGATTCATTACAAGGTCACTCTACCTACGTGGAATATATGAGACCATAGATATATAACTCAACTACCATCACTTCGGGGTTTTGCTTTAGTCAATGGACCTTGATAATACCATTTTTATTTTATTTTGTTGATAATTGTAATAGTCTGATTTCAGGCATGGCCTATATTTCCTTTTAGATTGCATTTTGGCTTCTTTTACTCAAGTCTTGCGAATGTTTGAACAGTATATGCTCATATTTTTGCATTAAAAAGTTCAGAAAATGTGATCTTACTCATTAATGTCACAATGCATTTTGATCGTACTGATCTCCTTCAAGATTTCTGGCCATATATTACCTATTATAGGTAAACACTGGAACAGATAATTGATCCTTCAAACTGGTGAGGCCTTTAAACATAAAGTTTAGTGGAAACTATTGACGCTTAACTGATGAATTCCTTGTAACATTATGATTTCTGTCGTGAAGTATTTCTGAAATACATGTAATTAATAGTTCATTTTTTCCTAACTTATTTGCTAATGTTTTCTGAGTGTGAACTATTTTTATGCTGTAAGACTTCTGCGTCTTGAAATAGGTCTATGCATCATTTACTTTTCTTCAGGATGGATACAAGAGAATGTTTTTAGCTGTAATTAACATATACTATTGAACTTCACATCGTAATTTCAGCGTACCGTATCATCTTACCTTTGTCTATTGACATGACTATGTCCGGAACCAGTTGTCAGTATATAAAATGCCAAATCTGTTTTATTGTAAGCTATAAGCAGTTTTTTATTTTGGTTACTTCCTGTGCGACATTGTTTTGTTCCTTGTCAGCATGAGCCCCTTTTTTGTTTTAAACTTGGAATTGCATGACTTCTGTTAGCACATAATCATAAAGGAAGGATTTTATTGCTCGGATTGATTTAAATATCTAGGTCACATGTTGTATGGTCATGCTCCTTGTTTGGTACTAAAAGCTTAAATTATGTGCAACGTTATCTTTATATTTTCTTCTTTAATGCACATGAATTGGTCTAGGCTACTTCAAACAAAACTGTAAGCTATCAATCCGGTAGAGTGTATGGTCTAATATTCATCATGTTAGGTCATTAAAAATTTATGCCTAAGTGGTGGTATTGGCATTAGGTACACATTTTAATGCTAAAGTTCTCCAACCTATCTGTTTGAGAGTTTCGGTCCTCAGTTTCTTTTTTTAATCTTTATAACGAATTCATGATTTCTGTGTTTTACTTGTCTTTGCAACCATTCTCTTTGCTTATCTGCGCCATCCTTCAGCCTCTACATACCATTGTTGTTTTTATGTGTTTTACTTTCTCCTGATCCTCATTTGCCATTCCTTTTTTGTTTGAATTGATGTTGACAGTCTGAAACTTTTTTATGTGATAGCCAAGCTGGCGTAGGCCTAAGGGTATTGATTCCCGTGTGAGGAGAAAGTTCAAGGGGGTTACTTTGATGCCCAATATCGGTTATGGTTCCGACAAGAAGACCAGACACTATCTGCCCAATGGCTTCAAGAAGTTTGTCGTTCACAATGTTTCCGAGTTGGAATTGCTCATGATGCATAACAGGTAGCCATATTTTCTTCTTCTGTCTTATTATTACAAGAGAGAGTATCCAGTGAACTGTATCCACAAAACATGCGGTGCTCCAAGAAACAGGAACTTTGTATCATTGCAAGACAAGGGGTTTGTAAAGGGAAATAAAATTCTATGGATGGCCACTTTACAAAACCCCTATAGGACGAAGGGGGTGAAGAAACACCCTAGCACCTTGATGCATCAGTGCAGTGTTGCTAGAAGCCATAGTGACAACACTGGTAGTCTATGCGCATTAAGCTTCATGTTAGGTTAGGTTTCGCCATCCCCTGTTGCCCATATGGTTTTCTGTAGTGAGTGAGTTAGTGCTCAATATATTCATTCAGTACTTGGAATTGTGTAGTGAAGCAAACGTTCGGTTTCAAACTGTTGTCGTGTCATTTGTTCTTCCGCTGTTGATAGCTAATGAGCGTGTCGTGCTTCAGGGCTTACTGTGCTGAGATTGCACACAATGTCTCTACGAGGAAGCGCAAGGAGATTGTAGAGAGGGCTGCTCAGCTCGATATCGTTGTCACCAACAAGCTTGCCAGGCTTCGCAGCCAGGAAGATGAATGATAAACAAATTTACTATTTGGAGCCTGTTCTAGTAATGGAAAGACCTCTGAGCAGTATTCATCTCGTAGGATGTTGTTTTATCTTTGATTTCCAGATTTTGTTTCTTTCTCCGACAATTGTTTATTATCTCGACATTGTCCAAAGTAGTTCTTTAAGAGCTAATTTGGTTTTGCTAGTAACGTTATATATGCTTTTGTTTGACTGAATGTTTTTAGGAAATACAAGGATGTTATGTTTATTCTCGACAGTTTTTAATCGTGTTAGAAGTGTAAGGTCAGGATGCTACGTTGCGCGGCTAAGGCGAGGTACTAGGCTCAACGAGGTGGAACGTGGGCTTTGGGATCAGTCTCTAAAACCTAAAAGCCCATTTAACCTTGTCTCCTTGCCAAACCCAAATAACTCGGCCGAAACTCGATCTCATCTAATACGATCGCACTACTCCTGCAGGAACGGGCGGCGATCACCAATCGCCACGTCCTTGCCCTCCAAAATATGAACTCTTATCAGTTCCCCCAAACCATTCATATTTGAATCTAGTCTCCCACAATTTTCGTCGAACCTTTCATATCTGAAATTATTCCCTCAATCTTCATATTTTGAAATTAACCGTCTAAATCCTTGAAATGATTTGAAATTAATCTTTTTGTTATATTTACTATCCAAATTGTTAACTACGATTAGATAGTGGTTATCAGGGATGGGTAATCAAATCAACCTCAAATTTGCCAGTATCAGGTTTGAAATGAGTGTATTTAAGTATAGGAAAATTCTAACTAAACTGTACTCTTCAAACTACTTCTACACTACTTTAGAGAATGTTTGGTAATTGAAAAGTAAATCGAAAGTAAGATCGAATGGAAAGTCCTTTCTTAATTAAGAAAGTGAAAATATGAAAAGTTGATGATGAAAAAACTTGTTTGGAGGATGGAAAGTGAAAAGATGGAAAGTTGAGGTGGCAAGTGATGTGGCATCCACTCTCTATACACATTATTTGGTTTTTACTGAAGGTGGACAGTGGAAAGTAGACTTTTTTAAACGCAGTCTTTTTGACATATAAAAATGAAAAGAAAAATTGTCTATGGTCACCATGGAAAGCTTATCTCTTAACAATATGAGTTTTTTTTTTTCAAAAGAGCCATTTTTTGCTAAATAACTATCAAAACCGATCGTTTTGCTAATTATTTAGCAAAAATAACCTCTTTTTGGCGAACAAGTCAAAAAGATGTTGTTTTTGCAAAATGAGGTCTTCGAAACATACAGGACTATTAGTCTTATATATTTAGTAACCCCTAATTGCCTACTAAACGATCTCAGAAAGCCTGCGGGACTAGTAGTCCCGTGGGTTTTCTGAAGGGAATTCAAAACACATAGGACTACTAGTCCTGTGCATTAAGCAAAGACTTGGCGTTGTTCGCCCATCAAATCCATGGGATTACTAGTCTCGTGGATTTGCTAGGTACACCCCAAACATGCACAGAACATGCACGGGGCTATATCGTTTCGTATATATTGTTTGGCGGACCTGTATGGGCTACAAAAATATAACATCCACTTCTTATAATTGTTATACAATATAATATTTATACATATAAATTTTAAGAAATAAACACTGGATAAACATACATTTAATGAATGCACAACATCACAACACAATAGCTACGTCATATAGATATCCATATGACAAAATATTCCAAACAAATCCAAATTTATTCTATCAAGTCTATCCATACGACAAATTTAGTCTACGCAAAAAAATTAATAATCTATCACATGCAACCTAAAAGTCCACCCCTCCCCCGTTGTCTTCCTCTTCGTATCCGCTCCGATCATCAGCGTCCTCCTTCAATTTGAGCTTGTATATGCTCACTCTCCAGTTGTGTGTGGGGCTATGACAGACCAGCTTTGTGTGACGGACCAACTTCATTGTTGTGCGAGCAAGATTCACCTCGCCTTCATCGGCGTGCATATACTCTCTCCTCACGCGCCATCTACTCGCGACCATCCATCGTCGATCGCTCATGAGGTCGATGAACGAGGCTTTGCGAATCCCCCCCCCCCCCCCCACATATCCGTTGCAAATACCAATACATAGACCGAATCTCCTTTGGCAGTAGCTATGCCTTCATTTGCAATCCCCTCTATCTCATCCATAACGTCTATCTGCAATCACGTAATAAAATAATCTTATATAAATAAGAAACCAAAAGCTAATGGATTAAAAAAAAACTATTTAATCTATAAAACGCATTTTAGTTACCCATTCTCTTTCATCTACACCCCCTTGATACGTACCTTTCTTGTTGGGAACGTATCTCGATTTCGTCAACTGGAGGCGTGGTTTGAGTGATTATCCATCTTTTAGTAGCCCTCCAATATCATCTTATATAATCTATTTCCTCCATCGGAGGATAAATCTGCTCAATAATGCTCAAATGTTGCTCATTCCATCTAGCAATATACTGATTATGCACACGTGGCCAGTCAATCTGATGCCCAACCTTGGACGCCTTTCTTTCTATTCTTTCTACAAATTGTGGAGCGTCCTGTGCGAAACTAAATTGCCTAAGTATGTGACCCGGCATGTGCATCTCTACAATTTCATAGGGCAATCTAGTGCCACCATCCTGATTGGAACTAGCCGCTAGAATATTTTCACATGGTAGTTTTTATAATTGTGGTATATTTCAAGTATAACTGCACTCCTAGTCATAGAGATAGACGATGTAAGTATCTTCATTATCTTTAACCTCTCATTCATTACCGTTGAGTGGAGAAATTCTACATGATCTTATGGACGCAATCCTTTTCTGCAGAATACTCTTATTTTTTGGAGTGTAACTTGTCGTCTAACTTGCACCACCACCACGTCTCTTACTAAAGTATGCGTTTAATTTATAAAACGTCCTTGTAACCAAGGCTTAAATTGGCATATCACGGGCACTCTTGAGTATGCCATTGAAACTTTTAGAGTAGTTAGTTGTCATCATACAATAGTGCACTCCATCATCTCTACATAATACCCACCGATCTTCGTATTGCGGCTTTAAGTTTTGTTCAATCCAGTTATATGCTTTAATTGATAAGGACTTAATTTTCTCCCTACAATGCTCATAAACTAGTGTGTCGGCTGTACACCCGCTTTGGCACAATAGATTTTATAAGTTGACCTCTCCATGTTTTTTCTTAAAATCATCTCTTATATGCCGCAAGCAATATCGATGATGATGTGGTGCTCGAAATTCCTCAAGCAAGGCTCGTGGAATTCCTTTCATCCGGTCAGAAATAAAAGTAATCGTTTTAGGACTTTGAACAGTAGGGACGAATCTATAAATATATTTAAAAAACCACTTCCAACTCGATGTATCCTCTACCTCCACAACTGTGAAAGTCAATGGAAATAGACCACCATTTGCATCTACACCGGTCGCAACCAAGAGCACTCTTTTGTACTCGCCGGATAAATGTGTGCCATCAGTGCTCAAGAGTGGACGACAAAAAGAGAACCCTTTAATAGCGGGTCCTAATGCCCAAAATACTCGCATGAACCTTTCTGTTCCCGGCGCAATCACTTTAGACAATATTTCATATTCGATACCCGAATTTTGCCTCTTAATTGCTTCAAGATATTACGGAAGTAATTCATAAGATTTGTTCCAATCTCCAAAGATTTTAATCAACGCCTTTCTCCGTGCATCATATGTTTTATATTTAGATATAGTTATTTTTCACATATCATATACACTTGTAATTATCTGATTTGGAGTAAGATTAAGTTCTCGCCTAACTTCGAACATAATTAGCTTCAAGATATAAGAGGAACTTGTTGCCTTATATCACGATTGACAGTTGGATTGCTACATGTATGAAGTGCACAATAACTAGAGATCATAAATTGCTCATTAGATTTTTTTCCTAATTGCTGCATTAAGCTTCTACGGACAATTTGAATTTCTCTCGTATTGAGCACTTGCATACTCTCATTGAGCTCTCTCGTTGAAGTAGCACTTTACATGATAGTTGGTTGTATTCATTTTTACTAGCTTGAATTTGACCCGATTCTTGATTGACCATTCATGTATAATGAAAATCAAAAGTTTCATATTCTCGAAAACATCTCCTTTTTTAAAAGTGAAGTCCTCGGGTCGTTCGCCATTAGGACCAAGCTCAATGAACTCAGATTATGAGGCATTTATCCACTCCTCATTTTGAAGCTCTTCTGGCAATGGTTCTTCAGACTCAATATAATCATTGTTTACACAATATCCAGCCATCTAATGAGTGTCCTCGTCAGTTCCTCCAATTGCACATTGTATACTATCAAGACGTTCTTCCTCTTCAGCATCTCCATAATCATCATCTGCATCTGCATCCTCATCCTCTTATACAATAGAACCAGCCACTAGATTAACTGAAACATGACCCAAAGCATTGTGGAACATGTCACTTGACATTACACCCGAGGTAGTTTCTAAGTGTAAGGCACTTGGAGATGAAATGAATTCGCTCAAGTTATTTTCTAAGTCAAGCATGCGGGAGAACTCTCCTGGAGCATATGAAACTTGGGCAACACTAGATATTGGAATATTTTCAATGAACAACTCGATTGAGATTTGATTTTTCGCAAGTTGTATCATGTCATTCAGTTCTTGATCATTGGTGATCTCTATAGTAATTATTTTTTCATTTATCGAACAATTACAGAAGACCTTAGTGGCATACTCTCCATGATTAAGTAACACTATATATTTGCTCCATCATTCCATCGAAGTTAATTTCTAGATAACATAAACATTTTTCTAGATCCTCCCTCATATATAGGCATATTATTCATTCCAATACTCAATTTCCTATTGAATAAGCAAATAACCAGTATTCCATTAGTCATTCGAACTAAAATATTAACATTTATCATATGCAAATTATTTATCAAATTTTAATATAACAAATTTTAATCTATCAAAAATTATCTATCAAAATTCATCTATCAAAATTTAACCAAATCTCATTGTTTATCATAATTAAAAAATTATTCTAAATATGCAATTATTTCCAAACTATAATTTTAACTAAATAATAGAAAGAAAATTAGGAAAAAAAAATCAAAATTTATACCTTGATGAAGATCCAAAATTCGTCGGTGTCGGAGAGGAGACTACGTCGGACTCCAACAATGGGAATGTACGTTTTAGAAACCCATTTTGTGAAACCGACCTCTTTTTGGCGGTCGGTTTTGCTAAATAAT